AGGAATTACTGTTATAATATTTTTTCGTTTGTTTGAGCTGTTTTCATAACGTAGACAGATTGCATAATGGTCTTTGGTGTTGATTTACATCATAAAAAGCCTATAATAAATCAGTACACTAGATGAGGTAAAATACACCATGTAGTATGTGTCCACATTCTATTGATTTGTGCTTACTGGAGAAAGTGCATTACCTGAAATGCAAAAGTAAATTTCTCAAATGACAACAATCATTACGATTATAATTTTGAGAAAAAAATAATTTTTATCAGTTTAACCATTATACAGAATGACGAAAACGTGACTAATATTTCATTGACTAAAAACCTGACTAATAGTGTTGTCACGGTACCAAAATTTCAGTATTCGGTACCAAGCGCATCAAGAACCGGGTTGACCGGGTACTCGGTACCACCGGTACTTAAAAAAACCTGGTACCGTAACGTTTTCATTTTTTTAGTACCGACTTGGTTCCGAAATATCGGGTCTTTTGACAACACTACTGACTAAAATGCTCATACATTTCATTGAATAAACAAAAACGGGACAAATTTGTCTAAATATGATAACTAAAATGTACATTTGAGTAAGACTAAGACAAATAAAAAATGGCTGCCAAAATTAATACTGCTGTATGGTTAATTAATAATAATCTTATTGCTAAAATGTCAAGTTTTCTTCGACTAAAACTAGACTAAAATACTTTAGATTTTCTAGGACTTAAACTAGACTAAAATGTTGAGACTTTTAGTCGACTAAAACTTGACTAAAACTAAATAGGATAAGGTTGACTAAATATGATAAAAACTTAACAAGGACATTTTGGGAGCACAAGATGCTCTTTGGATTATTCTCAAGATATTGCAGATAACATGAGGTTTCACACAAATTTATGGAGAATACAAATGCATTTTGTAATTCAGGTTAATTTTCCAATTCCACTTTTCACGCAAATTGTTAAAAATCTAAAATATATATTTTTTAAAAGTTCAGAATAGAAGCATTTTAACTAGTGATCTTAGATTGTATGTTTAACGGGAAAAGTGTATATTTTGTGCTGTGGCTGGTCACCATTTTTTTTTCTCTTTAGAATTGTAATACTCTTTTAGCTTTTTTTGCAGTTCATTTACATAATGCTGTTATTTTTTTAAAGGAACAAATATTTAATGTCATCTCTCAATTAATATGAGGCCATAAGAAAAATGTATTTTAAAAAAGTAAAACTGGGCACCAAATGCACTTCCTTTTGTGTCCTACACCTATGTCCGTGGTACGGATGGAACAGAAATGTACCATTCTGTTTAGAGAGTTTAAAAACTTGAATCCTGAATTTGTGTTTCAGAAGGTTTTCTGGTTAACTCTCTTGGCTCTTCTATAGCTGTTAACTCCCTTGCTAATAGCTCAAAATAGTGAAGTCATGTGATGTTTGTAGAGTACCTACCAGAAGAACCAGCCAAGTCAACTTTACTCTTAGTGCATTTCTGCTATTAAA